GAGAACCTTTAACAGCAACATCATCATCCTTACACATTTTTCTGTTTATTTTTTAAAATATGCTTAGAAAATAACCTTTTAACAAATACTAATCCAAACACCTGAAGTACTACTTTTCAAAAGAGACTGAAGAATAGAAGAGGAAGAGAATCCAGAATATACCCCCAAAGAGCAAGATGATGGTGGGGATTACTGGCCCAGAAAAGGAAGAGGTCAGGGTACTTTTTAACATGGCAGAGAGTACTTTAACTTTAAAAAAATCAGGTCACAGTCCAAAATGGACTTGTGACCAATGCCAAGAGAATGGGATTGTTGAAGATGAATAAAAGAACATGAGAGAAAAATGAGGAAAGGAAGGACAGACACAAAGAAGAAAAGGAATAGGGAATCACAAGTCAGATGACAGTGGAGAGCAGAAACTTACACTCACAATTATTTCTTTACCTCATTTTTATTCTCATTTAAGAATATAAGCATTTTACTTAAATTTGCAGCTTGCAAGTAATCCACAGAAGATTTGTTTTATGTCTTTAAATATTTTGAAAAATAGTAGGTTTTTTGTTAGAAATTGTGCTCAAATAGAGAAATGTTATTTAACAAAAATAAATAAATGAATAAAAATGTAAATCATTTTAGAGTCTCTAACTACATGAAAGTAATAAATATTAGACACCATGCTGTCTACCTCTTCATATCACTGCAATGAAATCACGGTGGCATATGAATATATAATACCTAGATTTACATTGTTCTATAAATGACCTGTATATGATGCATAGCTGCTTCTCTGGAAATGACTTTTATTTCTAGTGCTTTGAATCTAAGAGTATAGTCTTAGATTTAAATGGATACTTTTCCTCAGAACCATCAATGTAAGCAGAAAACTTCAGTATCACCCTTAGATATTAAATTGGATTTGTCTCGACAGTTTTGCAAAATGGTGAAGTAAAATCCACTGGGGATTAACTGACAGCTGAAACCAATATTTACTTCTACTGAGTGGGCCAGGAACAGAACAAGAGGCTAGTCCCCGTGTGTAGACACACATATGTTTTTAGTAAGGAGCAGGGAGGGAGACTAAGGGCAAATTGCAATAAACGGTCTGATGCTTAATGCTGTACCACTGGATTTTCTCTGCTCGACTATGATGGTATGCCAGCTATTTTAAAGTGGGTTGATATTTTCCAGTTATGATTAAGCTCACTGAACCTAATAAATGTTGAGCTTAAGATACCAGGAACTATATTTCATTCCATTTAATATCAAAACCTTCTAACTAAATCAAGCATGTAAGGATACATTCATAAGAAGTATCCAAATAATACTTACCACTGCATAGTTTTCTTGGCTAACAATACTTCTAAAATAGTAAGTCTACTTTTACTTTACTTGGGAAGAATCAGAGTATTAATTTAAGAAAGTCCAACATTTCCAAAAGTATTTGAACTTATTTGAAATTACTGTATTATTTATACTATTTTATTATTTATACTACAGTAATTTCAAATAAGTTCAAATATTTGAATGTCGGTTTCATGGGACTTCCTTCTTTGGCACAGACTAAACTTCAAATAAAAAAGTGTTATTGATATATGTATGTTTAATTATTTAGAAAAATCTCAAAAACTTTGTCCATTTTAACAAACATTACCTTCAGTGTTTCCTTAAACTAACAATAGCTCACTATGCAAAAAAATTGTTAAAACCTAAGTCTTGTGTATTTAGAAATTATGCCCCTTCATTTTTATCTCTTTTAATATTTCATTTGTATCATAGAAGGAATTTTATTAATATTTCACATTGTTTGAATAGAAATGTTCTGTGAATGTCAGGTATATTTGATGGACAAAATTCAATATAGTTTAAATTTTTTTTTAATTTAAGGAGTACCTGCATGGCTCAGTCAGTTAAGCATCTGCCTTCTGCTCAGGTCATGATCCCAGGGTCCTGGGATCCAGCCCCGCATCGGGCTCCCTACCCTGCAGCAGTCTGCTTCTCCCTCTCCCTCTGCCCCTCCCCTCCCCTCCTCATGTCTCTCTCTCTCTCTCAAATAAGTAAATAAAATCTTAATTTTTTTAACTTAACTCTAATATTATCAGGCAAAGTCTATCTAACTCATTTGTAAAATTCCAGTCTCTACAGTTTTGAGTGATGAATGTATGTATCCTTTGTTTTAGTTCTATATCCTGGTTTCCAAAAAAATATAATGGTTCTGACTCTACAGATTTAAATGTTCTGTACTGATTAGATTAGTTAAAGGCTAGCTCTCACTTAGGGACTAATTGCTGAAGAGGTTGCTATTAAGCTATTGATTAAAAATCTGGCTTAAAATATCAAGATTGAAAACATTATACTCTTATCTTTCTTAACAAAATGACTGGATATTTCTTCCAATAAAAAGATTGAAATTTTTTATATTAGTTTGATAATATGCTTATTGATAACCAAGGCACTACATCTATAAATCTTAGAAAAGTTACTAAAAGTTCTTTTATCCTCTTTTTAAAAGTCTTTTAGAATTAGTAGATGCAAACCATTTCTTGATGTACAAATTTATTCAATTAACTCTTCTAGCAAATAATTATCACATTGACAATCATAGAATAAGGTCCTGTGGTATTCATATACTACGTATTTCCTAGCCTATTAGAATGCCACTATTAAAATAATTGAGTGTATTTACATGAATTATTCATCTGAATAGTGAGGATCTCAATGCCGCAAATAAACAGTTTTCCCGCTTACATTGTCTTCTGTCTTCAGATAAGTGACCTTTGAAAAACAAACAAATCATTTATCTCAAAACTTATTTTCCCCAGCTAAAACATAACCTTTGTGTTGGAAAGATGTCATAATCAATGGGAGACTTTTAATTAATTAATTAATTAATTAATTTTATTTATTTTATTTTTTTAAGATTTTATTTATTTATTCATGAGAGACAGAGAAAGAGAGAGAGGCAGAGGGAGAAGCAGGCTTCCCGAGGAGCAGGGAGCCCGATGCGGGGCTCGATCCCAGGACTCTGGGATCATGACCTGAGCCAAAGGCAGACGCTTAACGACTGAGCCACCCAGGTGCCCCCATTCTTGGATTTTAAAACTGGTAAGAGGCTGGGAAGTTTACATCAAAAAAGCAAAGAAAGAATTTATAATTGCTCATTTTCTAATGTAAGTGAGCTAAGAAAAGGGAAGTCAGGGAACTAAAGATGATAGGAAGAAATCTATCTCAACTTCAGTCAAACTGAGGGGAACATTAAGGCCATCTTTGTCAATATCTGTATGTATTAATTATGACTGGAAATGTTTATTTCATCACAAGAAAGGCAGGAGTATTTGATATTATAGTTCACTGAGTATTTTTAACACTCAAAGTATTATTTGTTGCCAAAATGGAAATTTTTTTTGAAGCTGGGGTGTGTGATTTTCACTACCACTTCTCTGCTAATTTCCAAAATTATCTAAATTTCAAAATATCATTTGGACATGTCTGACTGATTGTTCTGTGATACTTCCCAGTCAGTATAGCCAGAAATAAGTTTGTTTTTACTACCAGTGTTTTGCTACTGTGGTTACTACATTGTTTACTATTTTGATTAATATCATCACCATCATTACATTAATAAGAATAAAATTGTTCATATTCATTACAGCACGTACATGCCCATCTTCCTTCTTCCCTCAATGCACTCAAGGACCACATTCTGTTAACTCTTTTTCCACAACATTGCTGATATCTGGCACAGGGCTTCTTGGATTCTATCTTTCCTTTCCTTCTTACGGGACATAGCTTTTTTCTATTATCTCCTCTGCATTGTTATTTTTTGTGTGTATTATATTTGCAGCTATTTTTTAAAACAATAAATAAATCTTATACACGGATGTCTTTTCTTTTATAAAGATTTTATTTATTTGACAGAGAGAGAGCCCAAGCAGGGGATGGGGGTGGTTACAGAGGGAAAGGGAGAAGCAGGCTCCCTGTTGAGCAGGGATCCTGACTCAGTCTCTATCCCAGGGCCCTGGAATCATGACCTGAGCTGGAAGCAGATGCTTCACCGACTGAGCCACCCAGGCACCCCTGGATATCTTTTCTTTTTAAAAATATCCCCTATACTATATATTTTACTTCAGTTCTAGTGCCATGTTTAGGCTTATGTTTATAGCAAAAGTTCTTGAAAATGTGTATTTATCACCAATATAGATTCCATTTTCTTAATTATACTTACTTCTCAGTCTATTCCAATTTGCCTTTTACTCTTCATATCAATGTTCAATTGAGACTGATCCTAACATAAGAATGAATCTTTCTTCCTGAATTGCACTTCTGCCTTAATTATAAAATGGCCCATTTTTCTATTCTACTCAGATTTCAAAAATATCATACATTTAGATAAAATTTTCCTAACAGTACAAGTATAAAATACCCACTTTATTTCAATTGTCTGCCACTGGGCAAAATTTAACATTGTGTGTCTGCTGAATACCTGTCTCCTCCTATCTTTATAAAAGCTCCAAAAAGAGGATTCTGATGATGGGGTTCATCATTGTATCCCTAGTGCCTAGAACATGCCCAGAAAGTAATCTCTCAACAAGTAGCCATTGGATGATGGAGGGAATAATGACCATTTTCATCTATTATCAGTAGTAAACAAATTACCTCTCTATTTCATGTCTGTTAGACATATTCTCATATCACAAATTAAGGGACTATGACATATCAAGTATTATTGAATGTTTACTCATATATGCGTTTCCTGGGAATGAGAGGAGGGAGATGAAAAAGAAGAAAGTCCTAGTATCTTCAACTGCTCATTGCATAAAGTTTTAGAAAGAGTTGTAATGACCAAACAATAAATTGGTACATTTTAGATCTTTAGAGTATATGGAAAAATAGGGGAAGCTCAATAGCTTTCCTGTTTCAGGTGTAGACACTTCTCTCTAATGGAACTCTGAATTGAGTTTACTGTCACCAGCTGCCTTTTGCTTGGTATGTTCTTTCTTCTTCTATAGATTTTATACGAATGATGTCTTCAGAGTCAGAGGTTTCGTTTTGTCTTCTTCATTATCATTCTTAGACATCCTCTTGTGATCTTTTTGGTAATATCAAGGGAAAGAACCTGCTTCTTGCTAACTTTGCTCTCATTTTCTGTATGAACTCTTAGAGATAAAGGGAAACAAGACAAACAGTAAGAGAAACAAAAAAGCTGCCATTTATCTGAGCACAGAGAATCAAATCCAATTATCATTGACTTTTTTCTTATGAGAACTTCTTTTTTTCTTAAGTCAAACATTGTCTGCTGTGACATTTTATGTGTCTGCAGGATTTCAGTGTCTTAAATTATTCTTTACTTTTTGTTAAAAAAGAACAATGTGATGAGCATGACCACACCCCCTATTCTTTACAAGAGGGTCATTATTCCAATTAAGAATAACACTATGAAAAACAAACTATTCAACAACATCTTTGGTTTAAATTAATTTATATAATAATTCTAATAATATTTTTATTGTTTCTTGTGTTCTTCTATGTGTTTTTATACTCTCCTCTAGCAAGATTTTTACTATTACTCATTTTATCCAACACCAAAGAGGAAGCTTTGTGTACCGAATGTCACTCCTGAAAGAATTATTTATATATTATTTGAATGTGAAAGTAAATTATTATTTTTTAGACAATAAGATCATTTGGCTCACCAAGAATAGGAATTCAATTTTCCTTATCCTTAGGCATCACTGGTCTACATAGTCGACTGCACAAAATTCTTTGACTATAAAAAATGAAAGATCATTGCCAAAAATATTTATCTTACTAGGGATTGCAGATAAACCATTATGGATTTTTTATAATCAGCATCTTTATTACAGTTTTTTTTAAAGATTTCATTTATTTATTTGTCAGAGAGAGAGAGACCGCGTGCACAAACAGGGGAAGGGGCAGGCAGAGCAGGCAGAGGGAGAAGCAGCTCCCGCTGAGCAGGGAGCCCGATGTTGGACTCGATCCCAGGACCCTGGGATCATGACCTGAGCCGAAGGCAAATGCTTAACCGACTGAGCCACCCAGGTGGCCCTTTATTATAATATTTGTTTTTCTAATGTAATTACTCCTAAAAATTGTTCTGCTTGCTCTTGCTTGATAAATTCCATCTCTAGTTTCAACATATTTTTTTTTTATTGTGGCCCCACATGGCCAAAAAATGCTAGACATGTTTAATTTATCCAGAAACACATAAAACATATTATCAAAGAACTTGGGTTTTGAGTTAGAATTCATGGATTTATTTCCCAGTTATTTAATCCAAATTTCCTGAATTATTTAATCCTTTTCTACTAGATTTCTTATCAATAAAATGTCAGTGATTATAATCTTTCCCAAGTCATAGGGTTGTTGTAAGGATAAAGATACATCTTACTTATATAAAATACACTTAGATAATGCTTTGAACACAGCACTCAATGAGTATTATCAATTATTAGTATAGGACTCTACTTAAAGCTCTAATATTTTGACAAATTTCTGAAACAATTTCATAGTTTGAATAAAATGTATAACTACAAGAATAATGGCATTAAACAAAACCCATAAATTAATATATAAGTTAGAGTGACCCAAATAATTACAAATATTATAATTTTGCTTATAATTCAGGTTTAATTAACCCTAGTATTTTTCCAGTCTTAATGTGAATGTTTTATTCTGAATTAGTCATAATCCTAGAAAATCTATCAAAGAAGAGGCCAGAACTATTTAGTCAAGAAAAAAGGAAAATTTGTGTTTGCAGTTTTCACTGAATCGAATCAGAAGCCTTTCTGGTGTGAACTTTAAAATGGAGGTTTATTGCTTGATCTGGTGAGAGAAATGGTCAAGATGTGAAAAAAAGCATATAGCTTATTTGGAAGGTGTAATAGAATATAAAGGTGTCAGTAATTTTAATTCAGTCTGAAAGCTAAATAATGCAATATTCTTGAACATATTTAGTGAAATGAGTCTTAAACTCAAGTATCTTCCGACTCTGGAATGGAAGGCCTTAAAAGCCTACATTTATCTCTTACATCCATGCCTTTTACTAGACCTACCTCCTACCTTTATTATAATATCATCTGAGGATAGGTGATATCCTCATCTGTCTCAGCTGCCTATGGTCAACAATTGGATCCCTATTACCTTCACATACAGTGAAAGAGTTACATTTCCACAACTCTCCAAGTTGGGGGAAGAGGAGGTATTTAAAGATTTTTATTTTATTTATTTGACAGAGAGAGAGACAGCTAGAGAGGGAACACAAGCAGGGGGAGTGGGAGAGGGAGAAGCAGGCTCCTGGCCGAGCAGGGAGCCCGATGCGGGGTTCGATCCCAGGACCCTGGGATCATGACCCGAGCCGAAGGCAGACGCTTAACGACTGAGCCACCCAGGCGCCCCGAAGAGGAGGTATTTAAACAAACATTTGATTCAGAATGACAGGGTCATTAAAATTAGCAATGACTTCATTTCCCAAGTATTTGGAATATGTTGGACTAGCCCATGGTGGTCACTTACCTTAGGGCCTGAATCTGCTCTCTCCTGTCCTGTGTTTGTTTAGGGGAACAGGGCTTTGCAAATGTGTCTCCTTTGTCAGCTGGTTTCTGGCTGATGTCTTCCACTAGGAGAACAAGTGATTCAAGGTTGGAGGAGGCAGCAGGGGGAAGCTACTTTGCTCCTTCTGCCTCCTGGACATCTCCCTCCAGCAACAGTTCAGGACCCATGGCTCAGAGGTCACTTTCAGTCCTGGGACAAACTTTAGTGCCCCCACAGCCCCTGCACTTTCCCCCCTCAGCCCTGACCAGGCTGTGCACCAGGTCTTCCAGCCCTAGTGGTGACACCCCCAGCTTCAGCAGGAGCACAGGCTTCTGAGCTGAGTTGGTGACAGTGTCCTGGTTTCAGAGGAACCACTTTTTCTTTTTCTTTCTCAAGAACACTTCTGTTTCATCCCCAGCACATCTGACATCTTTAAAAGAAATTCCCTACATTAAATACCCCTCTGTTTGATATCCTAGAATAGCCTCCATTTTCTTGCATAGACCCTTACTGATATATTCCCCTAGATGATAGAAGGACAGTTACTTTGAACATGATTTAAACAGTGCTTAAATAATTCATTGTCATTGAAATTCTATGAGAGAAATCACAATTTCTGTCATTCTGGTGGGAATAAGTTTACAAAGACTTTTTGATAAAATAAGTTAAGAATTCAGTCTTGGAGGAATATGGCATAACTCTACCTAAAATCACATTAAAATTCATAAGAAGACTTCATATATTTTATATTTTTATGTATAGAAAGTAAATTTTTATAAGTAGTTTTTTCAGTATAGCAAAATCATCTGCATGCATTCATGGTAATTTTTCCTTGTGCTTAGGCAGTAAATCAGCAAATAAATAATTATTTAATATTAACAATATGTCAAACACTGTTCTAGATATTGTTGCTGGACATTAGTAGCTTACCATTTAGCTGTGAAGAAAGGCCATAAAACATTAAGACAGTAATAGAATGACAATTTCAAATAGTGATGAGTGTTATAAAACAAATAGAATATACATAAATAACATATAAATACACTATGAAGTAAATTAAGATAGCTAGATAGAAAATGGCTATGGCCAGCATGTAGTTATCATGGTCATAAAAGTCTTTTTGGAGGGGCTGACATCTGAGCTGAAACTTGAGTATCAAAGAGGAGAGAACATGGTGGTTTCCACTGGACGTGTTAAGGAGCTAGAAATGGGAGGGCTTGGAATATGTCTTGCAAGTGGTGAATACAGTCTTGGAGGATTAAGATAGTGTGAGGATAATAGTCATTGTGAGGATTTGGGCCCAAGTAACTCTATGAACAAAGTTGCCATTTTCAAAATTCTTAGTGTCTAAGTATATTGGTAAATAGTAAAAAAAGTAAATTATAGATTACAGAGTAGAAATCTTACACATTGATCCTTTACTTCCCTATGATATTAGGGACAAAACTTCATGTGTATAAAGGAAAGTAATAGGCAGAGCACAAGGACAGAGGATAACATTATAACATTCAATCAAATGAGACATTTTGCAATAATGCTTATTTCTGAATAGTCTAAGAAACCTGGCTAGCCACTCTTGAACTATTCCCTCTGCCTCTTTTCCATGCTAGTAGAGACACCATCTGCATAACTTTAACTGGCACCACCCTTATATGACAAAGCATCTTTTCAGGGACAAATCAGGTGACATTTTTCTAGTCTGTAGAGAAAATCTCAAAATTGTCCCCAGGCCTTTGAGGGTAGAAAATAATTATGACAAACACACTACCTTTTAAAATCCAAGATTATGCAAACATTTAATAGTCAAAAGTATTTATTTTGCAGTTGGATTAACTGATACAGATAGAGATGATGAAAGTCACTTTATGTACCTATAATTATACATCTCTGCATCTCTAGCTATGGCATATTATATTACGTGTGTATATAATACCGCATCACTAATAACTGTACACATAACCTATTGTATGATAATCAATAGTCTTGATGCCATTTTGATATCAATATTTTATTAATAAAATAGCAGATCCATTCTTCTGCTAATAGTTTAACTGACCTGAGGAATTAAACATAAGCTAAAAGATCAGTCTGACTCATAAATAATTTTTCATTTATTTTTTACTAATTGCAAAATGAATATATTTAGGGAAAAATATACATAGCATTAAAATAATTCTTACCCTCTAGTCTTTTTAACTTATTGTTTCAACTTTTTTTTATTCTGGAGATTTTGCCTAAGATAGCTCTTTGTGGAGGTTTGCTTACAATTCATTTTGATGTTTATGTAACACAATAAAAGGAAGTAGAATTTTTGAATGATGATTTTATCTGCATCTCTTATATGTATTCTTGGAATTCCTAGACCCTTCTGTATACATTGAGTCCTGAGATATTGGAAAATTATATGACAAACCAGTTCCTACTGGTTAATACCAATTAATACCAATCAATAATTTATTAATTCTCTTTTTCCATCCTGAAAGTATAAGATGGTAAATAGTCCCATATGGGTTCTTTTAAGAAATTTTAACAGTTATGTAATTCAGATGAACATTGATATACAATTAAAATTTACATGAATGTGATTGAATCAGAGATCTTTACCCACTCATCTATTAATGAGCATTTGGGTTGCTTTCATAGCTTGGCTATTGTAAATAATACTGCAATAATCATAGGAGTATGTATATCTTTTCAAATTAGTGTTTTCATTTTCTTTGGGTAAATACCTAGTAGTGGAATTATTGGATTATGTGGGTATTTTTATTTTAAACTTTTTGAGGAAACTCCATTCTGTTTTCCATAGTGGCTGCACCAATTTACTTTCCCAATAACAGTGCACAGGGCTTTTCTCTACATCCTTGCCAACACGTGTTTACTCTTTCTTTCTTTCTTTCTTTCTTTCTTTCTTTCTTTCTTTCTTTCTTTCTTTCTTTCTTCTTTCTTTCTCTCTTTCTTCTAGCCATTCTGACAGGTGTAAGCTGATATCTTAATACAGTTTTGAAATGCATTTCCCTGATGCTGAAAATATGATTGAACATCTTTTCATGTTTCTGTTGGTCAACAGAACTTTCATTCACACATTTTGATGCACTTACAATGTGTCAAAACTTGGAAATACCAGTGTTAAAGAAGAAAAAAAAAAAGTCACTGTCCTTCTAGAGTACATGGCCTAGGTAGAAAGGAGACAGAAAATAAACTAGTTAACTGTGCCAGGCAGATTTAGAGAGGTAAATGCCATGGCGAAAAACACATAAGATAATGTGAGTAAGTCTAGAGAGAATGAAAGGAAAAAGCCTTTCTAAGGAGATATTTGAGTTGAGATAATGAACATTAAAAGTTAGGAATGTAGACTCAATGCAATTCCAATCAAAATCACAATGGGTTATTTTATGCATATCAACAAATGGATCCTAAAGTTGATGTAGAGAGACAAAAGATCCAGAATAGCCAACACAACATGGAAGAGGAAGAATTAAGTTGGAGGACTGACATTACCTTACTTCAAGACATACTATGGGGCTACAGTAATGGAGACAGTATGATATTGGTAAGAGAATAGATGAAGAGATCAATGGAACGGAGTCCAGAAATAAACCCTCATAAATATAGTCAACTGATCTTTGACAAAGGAGTGAAGGCAATGTAATGGAGCAAAGATAGGTCTTCAACAAACAGTGTTGAGGCAGCTGGATGCCCACATGTTGGTAAAGGTGGAGGCTGAGCATGTGTGGGGAAGGGGGTTGTACGAAAAATCTCTATACTGTCATCTCAATTTTATTGTAAGCTTAAACTGCTCTAAAAAATAATGTTTTTAAAAAGTATTGATGTGGTTATCTGAAGAAAGAATATTTTGAGTAGTGAGAAGAGCAAGAAGAACAACCATTAGGAGCAAATGAGCATTGCCACTTAAAAGACAGAAAGAAAGTCACTGTGGCTAGAGCATAGTAAGTGATGAGAAAGTGGTAAGTGTCAAGGTCATAGGGGATTTTGTAGGTCATTGTAATGCTTTGCATTCTATCCAAAGTTTGTTAAAAATCCATTGGCGTGTTTGAAGCAGTGAAACTATGATCTGTTTTACATTTTTAGTTTTATTTTTTTAAAGATTTATTTTATTTATTTATTTGAGAGAGAGAGAGAGAGCATGATCAGGGGGAGGGGCGGGGGGGGGGAATCCCAAGTAGGCGCCACACCCAGCCCAGCACAGAACCTGATATGGGGCTCATGACTCTGAGACCATAACCTGAGCTGAAATCAAGAGTTAGATACTTAACTGACTGAGCCACCCAGGCGCCCCCTGTTTTACGTTTTTATAGCACAAGATAAATACATATATAGAGGGAAGACTTTAGGAGACCAAGAGTGAAACCAGGAAAAATGTCCAGATAGACAGTTAAGGGAAGAGATACATAATATTTGAGAAATGAAATCTCAAGAAACCTAATGGTACAAAATACATTAGGGTGTTCAAGGCACAAACTAATAATATAATTATGAATATGAGCATGATTTCCCTCTGTCTCTCTTCCCACCCCCATGGCATTTCCTGTTTGCTACTTAGCTCCTTCTTTACTGATTTTTCCCTGAAAACTCCCTTCTGTAACAAGGCTCTTAGTTCTTGTCCTCACAAGGACTGATAATCTCATGTCTTTGTGATAACAGATTGTTCCAAGATCTGACTTTATAGTTGGAAAATACACTCTAATTCAATCTCTAGGTGTTGTAGGTCAACACTTGAGACAGAACGTAGAGTTGTGTTGTTGGGGCGCCTGGGTGGCTCAGTTGGTTGAGCGACTGCCTTCGGCTCAGGTCATGATCCTGGAGTCCCGGGATCGAGTCCCGCATCGGGCTCCCTGCTCGGTGGGGAGTCTGCTTCTCCCTCTGACCCTCCTCCCTCTCATGCTCTCTGTCTCTCATTCTCTCTGTCTCAAATAAATAAATAAAAAATAAAATCTTTAAAAAAAAAAAAAAAAAGAACGTAGAGTTGTGTTGTAATGATTCAGACTCTTCACTCCTGATCCAATCACATTTGGTTCAAAAAAGCAAAACTCCATAGTCTAAATATTAAACACTGAGGTGCAGACTAGTGACAGGATAATGGAGTCCTTCTGTATCTAGCACATATCTCTGATACAAATATTGCAGAGTCAAATGATTGCCAAAGTTCCTGCTGAAGCATTTCTGATCATAGTTTTGGATTTGGATAGGTAGGTGTGTTAGTTTTCTATAGCTGCTCTACCAAATTATCAGAAATGTAGCAAATCAAAACAATACCTATTTATTATCTCACTGTTCTCTAAGCCAAAAGCTAGGCATAATGAAGCTGGTTCTCTGCTTCGGGTTTAACAAGAGCAAAATCAAGGAGTTTGCAGGACTGCATTGCTTCCTGGGAGTTTGGAGGATAAATCTACTTTCAAACTCATTCAGGTTTTTTGCAAAATTTAGTTCCATACTATAAAAACAAAAGTGTCTTCACCTTCTTTCTTCCTTTTCTATTTTCCCTCTTCTATTTCTTCCTCTCTCCTTCCCTCCCTCTCTTCCTTCCTTCCTTCTTTCAGTTCATAATCTCAAGTAAAGTACATTTTTAACTCACTTAATGATTGATATACACTCTGAATATATTTGTGTCAAGTTCCTACTTATAATAGACTCTTGCTTCCTAACAATTGAAAAGTGGATCTTGAAGTAAACTAAAAACTGCAAAAGCACAATTTCTATTAGTCACTTGAAGGCATATATTACCTTTGTCATTTTAAAACAAGACACTTTAAGTATTATAATAAGTACACCCATTTTCTATATACATATTTTAAAATGTGTGTATGTATACAAGTTTCTGCACATATTAATGGCTAGTACCACCAGCTAACAGCAGCCAAAAGCAGAGTACACTGAATGTAGAAAGTGGTATAGAATTCAATAATGTATGTGAAACTCATTCTGCAGATGGGCCAGATGCTGCAACTTAGGGGTGTTAATCCAGAGGTTTCCCAAACTTGAAAAAAAAAAAAGACATTGAGGCAAAGCCATTTATCTTTGATCTTCTACAATTCATGCAAATACAACAATTGTCTTTTTGTCTGGAAATTCTTACTTAATTCCTAGACTTCAGTAACCTCAAATCTTCCTAATACCCGTTTTCATTACGATAGTCGCTCTGATGGATGGTAATACCACATTTTACCTTGCATATATGTATTTTTAAGTGTTTAAAATGTCTTTTAAAAATCTGTTACTAGTTTAACTAGAATCATGATTGATTTTGTTTTCTGTTAGTCAAACTATGGGTGTGTGAATGACTTCTCCCAATCTTATTTTTAATGTCTGCCCTTTATTTTACTATGAAATTTTATAAAATAGGGGATTTTTTAAAAATACAAATACTACACTATGACAGAAATAGAAAATCTATTTATCATACTGTTCTGGGTTCTTTATGAACTTAGCACTAAACCTTCTTAAATAAAAAAAGAAAAGAAGGAGGAGGAGGAAAAAATAGCCATACCCAGATCAACTCTACTGTAGTGGCTTTTTTAGGGGGAAAAATGACAGAGAGAAAGTTACATAAGTATACAGAAATAGAGTATAAATGAATTAGATAGGTAGATCTCTATGTACGTAATTATACATATTATATGTATTTCCAACATATATCTGTATGTTGTATATGTACATATATAAATTATGTTAAAGATATATAATTATAGAGAAAATTCCAGATAGACAATACATAATTTCTTTCTTCTCAAATACATATGTACCTCTGAGATGGAAACAGATATTGCAGTTTTATATAAAGGTGATATAAAATATTTAATAACAGTTTGATACAACAACAGCAAACACAAAAACAAGAACAAAATAAATGCCACTCACCTGGATGGATTTTAGCTGTCACAACTTGTTGCCTGCTGTATATTAGCCCTGCTTTTAGTGCAGATGATGTAGACATAATCTTGTAGACAAATCATTTGTATCAACTACTAAGGAGGGATCTATGGATATATAACTGATGACTATACATAACTGATAAAGTTTACATTCCAAAACAATAATCATAAATTTAGGGAGATAAGCTATATGAATAAAAAAAAAAAAAACAAATGCTACAAGTGACTGCTATTTAGAAATAAAATGTGTCTCAAAGAGGGGGGTATAAATTGAAGATTTCAGGAAGGAGAGAAAATTTGATCAACGTTAAATATTTCCACTAACATGAAAAATATCTTCATGAGTAAGTAAAAATAATGTTATTTATAGATGTAGTGTGTACTTAAATATTTACACCCTCCTTGGAATGAAATAATTTTTGAAAATGTCATTAACTGAATGTCTGGTGTTCCTTTATACAGATTTAAGCCCAATTATTTGGAAATTGCCATGTTACAGATAATCAGTTAGTTCAGGATGAAGGATCCTTACTTACTGACTGAATAATATTTTCAAACAAAATTGCAAGATGATTTCATCAGCACAGAAAAGAATGTTGACCCTCTTCTTCATTTTTGGCTGAAAATTACCTTTCCCTTTTACTTGAATGATGTCACATATTTCTTTCCATCGTAACTTGAAGGAGGAGCAGTAGAAAACCATGTTGAAGCTGGTGTCTGTGTTTCTTTAATCATTTAAGGAATATTGTGCTCCTTATACAATCAAAGACCTTCACAGAAGAACGGATACTGTTCAGTTGATTTGATCATTGTGTATAAACTGAAATGACACTTAAGCCCTTTCTAGTTCCTCTGGAGTAGGTAAATTAAAAGATACTTGTTTGCAATTTGATTAGGAAAAATAGAACATTGGATTTTGAGGAAACCTACAAATATTAGTTTCTAGCACTTACACTCTTCCCCACGTTTGTGTGTGTGTGTGTGTGTGCAATCCTCCCACATCATCAGCGCCTGTAGAAGGCAGTGCTACAATATACATCTGAATCCTCCTGCTTACTGAACTGCTCCCTGACCTTTGCAGCCCCGGGCTTTTTACAATGTTTCTATTAGTGTCATCTGATTTCTGGTGCTGTTTTGTCAGACTTCAAAGTGTTGCCTGGCCCAGAGTGGTGCTCAGATAGATTTACTAAACTTTATTTTGAAGCTATAAAAGATATCCCATTGTTTTAGAAGTTTTGCTAAATCTTTGCTAATATTTCAGCACTAGTGTTGCAAGCATTAGATCGGTAACTCAGAGAGGAATTTTAAGCTCTTCTTTTCCCCGTCATTTATTTTTTTTAATTTTATTATTTTTTTTAAGATTTTATTTATTTATTTGAGAGAGAGAGAATGAGAGAGAGAGAGAACACATGAGAGGGGATAGGGTCAGAGGACGAAGCAGACTCCCTGCCGAGCAGGGAGCCCAATGCGGGACTCGATCCCCGGACTCCAGGATCATGACCTGAGCCAAAGGCAGTCGCTTAACGAACTGAGCCACCCAGGCGTCCCTCCCCGTCATTTAACTTTCAAACTATTTTTGTCTTTGAATTTAAAGATTCAGTTTGTTTGCTTCAGTGATGTAGCTGGACTGGTTCAGTGCAGGCTCTGATGATATCCTTGCTCAAATTACTCCCCTGGGGTTGGACCATGAGGAGTCTGCCATTGATTGTGCTTAAGGCCCCCGGACCAGTGAGGTTTCTACCTTTAACACCAGATCTGTGTGTGCTCTGGTCTCAGTTCAGGGAGTTGATGCATCTGCCCCCTTTTCAGGCAGGCCTGGAGAACCAGAGGCTCTTTCCTCAGAGGACATGGCTCTGGGAATGTGCCCAGGCTCCACGGCGACAGTGGTTTTAGCTGCACTCCCTGAATATGTTCTCTGAGCTCCCCGGGGAGCTTCTGAGCCGTCTGAGTCTATTGGCATCACACACAGCTGTTAGCCTCCCCTGACTGTCAGCTGACTGACCTACTGTTTCAACAATACCCCAGGGACATATGTCGTCTCGCAGCCTGATCCAGACAGAGGTCAGCCACTTAGCAGAGTCCGAGCTGTGTGGCTTGCTTTAATCCTCCGATTTCCCTTGTAAAATCCTTTTCCCCAGTTCTGGGGCTCGTTTTGGTTCTTTGTTTGGTCATTTACATATTTGTTTAGTCACTTGGCTGTGAAATCTGTTTTCCTTACAGTTTGTACTTTCTGATGTCTCTGCTCAGATGTTTTCCTTTATTTTTATCTTTTATCCGGGTTTCTTAAATGCCATCCCTGGGTCAACATAAGCCACTTCTGGGTCAAGGGTTATGATTAAGCTCCCTTAGCCAGCTTGGTTTCTATTCTTGGACATTGGACACATGTGTGCTTTGGGGACTGCTTTCACAGTTCAGCATTGAACCCTGCATTCAGCCAGGGAAGCTCAGCTTTTCTATCTCTGGTCCCTTTTCCAAGGATGCAGGCATGGGCATGCCCAGCCTTCCAGCCCCCCAGGAATGAGTGTGATTTATTCACACACCTAGTTTCCCAGGCACTGCATTTGGCTCAGAGCAGTGTATAGTTCAGCGGGTGTTCTCCTCTTGGTTCTCTTTCTCTGGAAAACCCCCACTGATACAAGGGACATGAGCCAAGGACAGAGGGCAGCTGTAGAGCCTGCAAAAGTCAAGGGAATAAGTGGTCTAGAGCTTCCAGGGAGGAGCGCAGCCCCTCCAACACCAGACTTTCAGCCCAGTGTAACTTTCTTCAGTCTGATCAGCTATAGAACTGTGAGATAATACATATATACTGCTTTAAGCCACTAAATTTGTGTTAATTTATTATGGCAGCAAAAGAACACTAATACACGAGACCAAGCAGATCTATGCCATCCGTGATTTGGATTCCTGTTACCTTTGGGGTGAATGAATGAATCGTGATTGGGGAGTGCAGAATTGGACATTTTATTGTCATTGTCACTTTCTATGTATTTATGAGTTTAAGGTTACATGGGTATGTTCAATTGGTGATGAACCCTGAAGCTATAGGCTTATGATTTGGACAATTTTCAAATAATTGAATTAATGATGTGGAAAATAGCTTTAAGATAATCACAAGTATTAAAATCACATGTTTTTAAATGAAAGGGGAATCACATGGAAGATCTAAACTTGAAATCCACTGGAAGAAAAAAAAAGTTTTCTAAATAAAAGAACTGAACATAAACAGGAATCTAAGGTATGATGAAAGGTATGATGATAAAAGGAAAGGTATGATGATATAAAGGTATATGATATATGAAAGGTATGATGATGATATATGATGATATGTGAAAGATAGGATGACATAAGGAACATAAACAGGAATCTAAGGTATGATGAAAAAATAAATCGACCTAAATGAATTTGAAAAAAACCCACCATGAATTTTCATATTCAGGGTTTTTGAACATTTCCCATAAATATTCACATATCTGTGAATACTTTCCAATACATATTTCTAATGAATATTTATGCAAAACAAATTCTATTTCTAATGGAAGAAAATTAAAAATGGCCTCAGATATTCCTCTTCTGACAATTAATATTAGGAGACATTGAGAAAAATACCCAGAGATTAAAATGAACTTAGAAATGCAAACTATCAATACTAAATCATGTCCATCTTGTAACACATGTGTAATGATGTTCGTTTTTAGGTACACAAAAACTGGTAGAGTATACCACCTATTACCCATCTTGGGGGGAAAATACAAAGAACTGTCAAATATTCTTTTTTTTTTTTTAAAGATTTTATTTATTTATTTGACAGAGACAGAGACAGCGAGAGCAGGAACACAAGCAGGGGGAGTGGGAGAGGGAGAAGCAGGCTTCCCGCAGAGCAGGGAGCCCAATGCGGGACTCGATCCCAGGACCCTGGGATCATGACCTGAGCCGAAGGCAGTCGCTTAACCAACTGAGCCACCCAGGCGCCCTCAAATATTTATTCTTAATCTATAAAAATTCAATATAAATAAATACAATATTTGGAAATTTCCAGTACTTAATACTAATTTAGAGCAATGGAATCTAAGTATCTAATGAAATCAATTTGGGTACACAAATTATAGCATATCTGTAAGATAATATAACATGTATCAATTTTGAATTATCATATTCAGTTAATAATATGTACAATATATTGTTAGGTATAAAGCACACTTCAAATTGTGGTTTAATCTCAATTATAAATGTTTGGATATGTTCTTAAGCAGACTTAGGCATTTTCTTTATTTTTCATATTGTCTCTAAAGCATAGATATCGTTTTGTTAGGTATAATAAAATAAATATTCATGAAAAAGAGAATATGCAAAGAGATGAGTCAACTATACTCTGTTAGATACATTAGATTTGAGGGCACTTTCAGAAAAGAAACTAAGCAATCTATTTAATTTTCAAATATTTAAAGTGTTTTGTAAGATGAGGATGTTCACAGATTTACATATTTTAATTTCCTATATATTGAATTCATCAACTTACTTGCCAAAATATACAGATGCCCTTACATTACATTGTGTTACTTTAAATTTTATTTCCTAAATTTGTATTGAATCACAAATCAAAAAGTTTGCAATGTAGTTTTGACTAAGACTCAGTAGAAGCTGTTTCCTGTTTTATGTTTGACAATAATTTAGCATAATATAAAGTGATGTGACATGAAGCAACATCCCGAACAGAATTCAGTTCCATTAACAAGCTCCATTATAGAAACACAGCTACCTACAAATCAACTATTTTGTGTCAGTTTCATTAATTACTCTTTGGACATAATTGGTGTAATGCTATACCTTGTCTTATGGTGTTTGAATTGTTTGGCTAGATAAGGCAAGGCACGATATTGAAAAAAGCATAACCTAAATGCAATTTTAAATTACTTGTATCAGTCCACCACTCTAAGAAGGAAGTGCTTTCATTTACTTTATGAAATTCATGACTGTTTTTTAAATTTTGAGTGAATATTTATTAACAGGTGATTCAGGGTAAATTCATAATTTTAAAAACACATAATAAGGGGCACCTGGGTGGCTCAGTCGTTAAGCGTCTGCCTTTGGCTCGGGTCATGATCCCGGGGTACTGGGATCGAGTCCCACATCATGCTCCCTGTTCCTCGGGAAGCCTTCTTCTCCCTCTCCCTCTGCACCCCCTGCTTGTGTTCCTGCTCTCACTAACTCTGTCAAATAAATAAAATCTTTAAAAAAACACCCACATATAATAAATATTAACAAGGATTTACCCTTTTTAAGATATGGTCTATTTCCATGTTATATGTAAAGATGGCCTATATGCCTCCTTTTAAAAGTGTGCACTTCCTGAAAATTAATTTAATACTGAAATTAACACAAATTAACTTTGAGGATTCTTTATACACAGGGAATAGTCATTTACTGCTAAATTTACTATTTATAAAATAAGATTCCTCAATGAGTATAATGCACATAAATAACTCCCTCTAATAATTTGACAGTACATTTTCCTTATTATTAATGCAA